GAAACTGAATCGGATCCTCACATTGTAACAAACCTGTGATTCAATAAGATAAAACTCTAGTCTCCCTAATTGCAAACTTCCACATTTTACCAAATCCAGCAACAATGGGCCAAAGACAGAATGAACAAAAAGAACGTTGACTTTGGAGGGCAGGTGTCCATGATCTCTCAGCTGCAACAGGCTCAGGAGTTAGCACTGTCACCATTCATTCCACACCGCCATCTTTTCCAAACTGTGGGGGACTAAAAAGGGATTATTTTCCACAAACCTTGTTGGCTCTAACACCTGGGATAATAATTACAATAACAGAATTGGATCAATACGAGACATTCAACATTTAGTATGGGCACGAGCATGAACAAATACCAGGCAGGACAGGACATCAATGCAGAAAGGACAGCGGCACAGCTGACGTATTGACTCGGCTGAGGCATCGACGCAGACGGTACAGAAGTGCGGCTGGGACAGCAGGGGAAACTGGACTTCAGCAAAGATAGGAGAGGGGCACAGCTGAGACATCTGGTCAGCCAGGACATCAAGGCAGAGAGGACCTGGACACAATCATGATTTCGGCGAGGCTGGGACATTAGCGTGTCGGGGGCAAGGGAGGGAGACTGATGCTGCCAGGATGCCGACACACACTGGACACTGGACCACAGAGACATGGACACAGCTGAGACAGGAACACAGGTCTGGCCCAGGAGAGGTGCCTGGGTACCTGACGTAAAGACACCACTGTTGTACGTGGGGGAGAAGGAAAAATGACCTACGAAGTCCATTTATATGAAAGTTATAACATCCACGACTAAGCGCCACTCCATTCCACATTCGTAGATCATTCACTGCAGCTGACAGCCTTTCCTGCTGGCCTGCACTAAGGTGTCCTTCCCAAGATGCACTTGAGACGAGAAGAGAGGCACACTTAGAACATTTTCCTAAGTGACCATAATGAGCCATAAAGTAAGATTTTAAAAATTACAAAGAACTAAAATTATATAGAATATAATTCTCACTCTCATTTATGTGAGTTAATAAATCAGGAACAAATGGTAATTAATAGGTCCTTACATTGAAAAGTTATGAAACACACTTCTAAATACCACTGCAATCCACAGTCGCTGATATTCAACTAGAATAACCACTTTTCCTGTGGACCTCCACTAAGGTGTCATTCCCCCAAATCTCCACGAGATAGCAGCAGAGATACACACTTGGAACATTTTCAAACCTGACCGTATTTAGTTATAAAGCACGTTTCATTACACTTAACAGCTTGAAACTGCATAAAGTATGTTTCTTGCTCTCATTACAGTTAATCTAGAAACTAGTAGCAAAAGATAACTAGAAAGTTCTTATATGCAGAAGTCATGAATACACTTCTAAATAATCCTCCAAATAAATCACATTTAGAAAATACTTCAAACTGAGTGATAATAAAAATGCTACATACCAAAACCAACAGCAAACTGCATAATCTTAAGTCGTGCATGCACTGGGAAAAGAGAAAACCTGAGAATTCACAAGGCTTGCACCCATCTGAAGGGCCTGCTGCAGTAGAATCCAGAGAGAGCACCACAGAATAAAGGCAATGTTCACTTACCGATGCCTGAAGAGGTAGATACTTATGACTAGAACAGTTCTTACTGTTTGGAGTAGGATTTCACATCAATTTCATTTTCCTGTGTTGTCCCACCCAGGCCGCTCAAGGTCACTGGGGTCAGGGACCTGCCCTGACCGCAGTGGAACTCAAGGATCTGCCCTGGTCTGCCCTGACCCAGCGCCTTTCTGATGAGAGCTGTGGAATTTCCTAGTGCCTTCTAGAAGGCAGTGCCTGGCTACCTCTGCTACGAGCTCATCTGGACTGCAGGGTCGATGTCAACAAGTTGTCCTCTGACTTTTCAACTAAGAGAAAAGGGACAGAAAAGCTTTCCCATTGGGGCACCTCGTGCCAGGTGGCGTCCCAGTGCCAGCTGAGGGGCCTCGAGCAGGGGCACCTGGCATCTGCAGGACGCTGGCCATGACGCGGTGCGTTTGCGCCGTGAATGAGGACGAGGTCGCCCCTGCCCTGGGGTCTCCTTGAAGTCCACCCTGGAAACAGGCGAGGCCCGGCCAGGAAGGTCAGGGCGAGCCCCCAGCTGGAGGGGAGGACGGTGTAGCTGCCCCCATCTGCCACGCCCACTCCCTAGGGAGCAAGAAAGTGGGTTCTCTGCCCTTCACTAGGAAGTTCACCTAAAATTAGGAATCTGTTTGCGTTTCAGCCCCCCAACTTTGGCTGGATTAACAGCAGCTGCATCTAAAACGTGTCTGCCTTCAGTTCTCTCTGAGGTCTTTTAGATATTCAGTATTGCTGTTACCACTCTGGTTTCTGAAAGTAGTTATTACAATGTTGCGTTTAATTAGGCCCAGCCTGGCGATTCAGGCTACACAGGGGCTCAGCTGTGGGCTCAGCTGTGGACTCTGGTGCAGGCTGTGCAGCAAGTCCCAGGTGTATCCTCCACACTGTATGTCAGCAACATCACTGAGCTTACAAACGATGTTGGCACGCTCCCCAGGAAAGGCAGCACAGGAGGAGGGCGGGGGCCAGGTCTGGCCAGGGGCCTCTGAGCCTTGTCCCCATCCTGTGCAGAATGTCCTGCCCCAGAGATGTGGGGGCAGAGAGGGTGGAACCTCCTTTTCTCTGACCCAGATCCCCAGCCCCTCCTGCCTGGAGGACCAAACTCCTCTGCAGGAGAAACAAGAAAGGACTCGAGGAGCAAGTGCCACCAGGCGGCAGCCCCTGTGGCCGCACAGGACACTTGCCTTGGTGTCCCTCAGAGACCCTCGTGGGGGACAGGTGCAGGTGCAATGTCTGCAGACAGGAACCCGGGGTCATGTGCACTGGGCTGTCCAAGGTCACAGTGACACCACCATGTCACAGCCGAGGGGGGCCAGGCTCAGGGAGGCCACGCGCCTCATCTGTGGTCCCAGCTCTTCAGAAAAGGGAGAAAGGCCCCATGGCCAGGGTCTCTGGTCGACCAGATGTCTCATCTAGAAAGTCAGTCTTTCTACAGGGACATGAGCTCCCAGAGACCACCAGACCTATAAGCGTACATGGGGCCACAGAGTTGGGGGCAGGAGCACTGAGCTGGTGGACCCTGGAGTGGGGTAGCCGGTCATGGGTGGTGTCTGCATTCGCCAGCCCCATGGAGCTCCGAGCAGAAGCCGCGTGTCCTGACCCAGTGAAAGAAACTCGGGGGCAGGTCCCTGCATGGAAACCCAGGGGGTGGGGTCTGCCAGCAGACGCACTCTGACCTGTGGCCACATGTGGGCGACGGGCAAGGACGCTGCAGCTGGGGGCCAGGCTGCAGAACTGGGATGGGCAGCTGATGAGCCACCTGCTGGCGGCAGGCCAGGGGCAGCCCTGAGCTGAACGGCGGTGCGCCCTGCCCGGCCCCACCGCAGGTGTCCCGCTGCGGTTTAAGGCTCACGGGAGGCACCCCCTCCCAGGCCGGGGTCTCCCAACGCTGTGGGCTGGCTCTGGAAGGAAGGTCGTTCCCTGCTGCTCCCACCGCTGCTTTTCTGTCACCAAAGCCAGCGGTGACTCCTGGGGGGGCTGTGTGCAGGGACGGCTGCTGTCCCCAAGGAGGGCAGGGCACGGGGCGTCCCAGGGAGGTCGGGGGTGCGAGGAAGGTGCCCTGCTCGGAGCACAGTTCCCGCCTCCCCACACGCTAGCCGGGAGCCTGCAGTCCCCGACCACAAGTCCGCAGGGAGGAAGCGGGCGGCTCCCACAGCCGTGGTGCAGCTGCATCTGTGTCTGGAGAGCCTGCCCACACCTCCCGGCCTTCGGCAGAGACCCCGTGGCACCCAGGGCCGGCGTCTTAGTGCCCGCACCGCCTGCGCCGTCCCCAGAAGCCAGCGAGTGACCCTGAGGTGTCCCACCACCCACCACCGCAGCCCCTCACGGCAGGCCCCAGGTGACGTCTTTGCCCGCTTGCAGGTGCCAAAAGCTGGGCACTGCCGGTGGGGAAGGGCAGCGTCTCTGCGAAGCCGGAGCCTCAGTCTCCCAGGTGCGAGGGGCAGGGCAGCCCTGGGCTGCGGCGGACTCCATCCTCAGGACGCCCCTTGTGCGGGGGTGCTAGAGAACCACTCGGGTCTGTGTCAGGTCTGCAGGTCTGGTGTGGCGCTGCATCCCCTGTGTCTCCATCTCCCCAGGAACACCCCCGCTCCCGCTCCCCCAGCCCCGGGTCAGACCGCACTGCCCCCTCCCTGATAAGCCCCACCCTCTGGGCTCTGTCTCTGCAGAACTCGGGGACCACACCCCAGGGGGGCAGTAAGATGCTGAGGTAGGGCCCCCAGGAGGCGGCCACATGGGCAGACCGAGCACAGGACGGGGGTCGCACAGGGCCCAGCGGTCGGAGGGGAGGGGCCAGTCTGCAGGTCTCTGCAGACACTGGACTCTGACTGCCTTGTTCGGTTTGGGGGTTTGGGGCGGGGAAAGCCTGCTCACAGCGTCACAGGTTAATTTCTTAGGTGCCAGAGGGTGGTCCAGGTCCGTGGGCGGGACTTGGGAAGCTCGGGAGAGGGAAGAGTTAAAGAGTGGGCGGAGGGGCCAAACGTGTTCCCCCGCATTCCCCCTTCAGCGCGGGTTTTCGGATTGCAGGAGGAACAGACGCTCTACATGAAAGTTCACCACGGCCTGAACAACGAGGAACGGGCTCCTGCCCACCCTGTGCCTCCCCCGAGCGTGACCCGCCGCTGTCCGGGGACCGTCGCTGCAGAAAACCCTCGCCAACCCGTTAAAGTCAGGGTGGGTGGGTGCGCGCTGCTTTTTCACAAAACCCGAGCCTCGGGGGTTTCTTGGCCACCGAGAGAAGGCGTTCCTGCCTTTGTCCGCACCACTGTCTCGCAGGGAGGGAGCCGCGCGCACTGGAGACCCGCCAAGCTGCCCTCCCCACTTCTGGAGGCACGCGCGCTGGACGTGCCCGCCGGGCCGGGCCGTCTGCAGGCCGTTCGGGCGGAGGGCGGGTCTTCGCTCCCAGCCCCGAGCTGACGCCGAGCGCCGGGCACCAGACCCACAGAAGAGGCAGCGGCAGGAGTCACCTGGGCGCGCGCCTGGAGTCGCACCGCAGGACGCCGCCCCCAGAGGGTCCCCAGTTCGGCTGAGAAGCGACTGAAAAGCAAGCTCTGTCCCAGGTGAACGTGACTTTGCCGATACCTCCTCCCACTCAGACTTGGATGAAACGCCCCGGTGAGGGGCAGCCGGCGGTGGCCTGTGCACTGCGCACCTGCCTTCAGGTGTCTTCTCGCTGGGCCCCGCCGGCTCCCCGCCCCCCTTACCTGCTGTTTCTCGCCACGGGGTGGGGGGGGCGGGTTGGGGCTGCGCAGGGGCCGCGCCAGGAGCCGCTCTGTGTTCGCTAGGTTTCCGCGAACCCGCTTCTCTCGGGAGGCCCCACCGAGACCCCGGCCGGCTCTAACGCGCCGGCAGCGCCCGCTCCGCACAGACACAGACGTGCGCGGACCTCAGCGCCTCGTGGGAGACCGCGTGTCTGGAAGGAAGGCGGAGAGGCCCACGTCCGGTGAGGAGCAGTGCTCTTCCGCGGCCCTCTGAGGACCCCTCCCCGAGGTCTGTCCGGGCCCTGGACCTGCTTCTGCAGCCCCGCGGTCACGGACAAGACCGCACCGACGGGTCGTCTCGCGGAGCACTGGGAACAGGGTCCCGTCCCGGTTCTGCCTGAGTCGGTCCCGGGACCTTCCTGTGCGTCGGTCCGAGGCAGAGACCTCTCCCTGCCTGGGGCGCCGGCACCGCGTTCCTTCCTCCCCCCGCCCCCCTCCCCCCGGGGACCAGCGCGGACTGAGCCCTGCGCTCGCGGCCGCGCCCCGAGGGGCCGAATTCCCGCACAGCGCGGGGCTCAGGCCGCGGCAGGCAGTGGTCGCCACCTTCCTTCAGAGGACGCGGGCCCTCCCGTCGCCTCTTCCGAGAGCGCAGAGCGCGTCGGCTCAGGCCTGGGGCGGGGCCGGGCGGGCGCACTCGCTGGACCGGAGAGAAGCGGACCGCTGTCCCAGGGCGCCCGACAGGGCCTCCCAGGGACAAGTTCCCCGCAAAGGGGCGGTGGGAGCGGCTCCTCAGGCACAGCCCGCCTCGGCCAGGGGTCTGGGCTCTGAAACCGCTGGTGTTCTGACAGCACGGTCCTTCCGGTGCCAGAGAGCTGGCTGGACGGGACCCTCCGCCCGCCTCACGTCACCACATTCTACCAAACGTGCTGCTGAGGGCTCATCGAGCCGGACCCAGTCTGGTGTTTGGGGCTGCGCCAGCGCCCTCACTGTTAACTGCTGGCGCTCCTGCGCTCTCGGAACACAGCGCGAAGGGCTGCGCCCTTGTCGGTTTTCCCTCTTCCAGGAAATGAGTGCAGGCTCCACGCTGAAGCATCCAGGACGGGTGGCCTGCGATGCAGAAGGGCTGAAGGCCTTCTGGGAGAAAAAGGTCCGGCTGCACGCACAGCAGCTGCGGAGCGAGGACGAGCGTGTTCGCAGGAGCGCCCTGGACAGGTGGGCAGGTGGGCGGCAAGGGGGACCTCCGCCCTCAGGCACGCAGCCCCTGCCCCCTAACAAAAGCGTGTCAGGCCCAGACTTCCTGTCACAGTTGGAGACACTCTCCACCGGAAACAGCCCCATTAACTCGGCGTCTAGTCCCAGCATTGAGTAAGTGGAGAGGGGAACACCCCAGGGTCCCACACCCTTCCACCCCCACTCCGCCCCCCACCCCTCCATCCTCACACTCCCCTGCCGTGGGGGCGTGTCCTGCTTTGGTCTGGGGTTGTGACAACTGCTCCCACTGAGGGTAAGACTGAGAGGCCAGAGCTCGCTCTGCCCCTTCCCATACACTTGTGCGGCGGCGGACCCAAAGCCGACTGACCCCTTTCTTCCTGCAGCTGCGCCCCAGGGCCTCGGTGCTGAGGGGGCCTCCTGGATGACCCCAAGCAGACTCAGGATATCTGGTCCCAGGCCGAGAGGGCGGATTAGCACATAGTTCACACCTAGACAAGGACTCAGATGGCCAGTAAGGCCAAAGTGGTCACAGCCTCTTCCCCAAATAGCAGCAGCAGCTGCTGCCCCTGGAGCAGGTTGGGAAGGAGGATCCTGATCCAGGTGGACTGACCTTCCAGCCGCCAGAGGTCTGGCTGCTGTGCTGGCCCCTCCCCCACCTGTCATCTCTTGGCTGTGGGATGGGCTATGCCATTCAGGACCCCTGCCCCAGCTGATACATGTAGAGGGGCCGTGGTGCCATCCTCTCCACATGGTGTAGCCCCACCCCAGCTCCTAGGGTCTCAGGGCTCATCCTGTCCTCTTGAGCCATCAGGCCCTGGAACCTTCTGGGTCTTCTGCCCAGGGATGCAGGTCCCAGAAGTGGGCTCTGGGCCCAACAGTGACAGGGCCACCAGCTCCAGCTGGGTATATCGTCAGGTCCTGGGCTGAGGGAACAGGACTGTGGGTGGGACATTCTGCGCCTGTCTGGGAAGATGTGGCTGGTGATCAGGAGCACAGACCACAGCCAGGATGCACCCTGTTCCCTGGACAATGGCAGCCCCCTGAGGACGTCCCCACGGGCACCCCGCAGCTCCCGCAGTTCCCAGAAGTCAGAGTCGTCTCCTTTTAAATGAGACGACTGGCCCTGGGGCAGTCAGTCAGCAGCCAGAGCCTGGTGAACGGGCGGGATGGTGGCCATCCGTCAGACGTGGGGCCGCCCCTCATGGGCACTTCTGTCCCGGCCTAACCTCCTGCTGCTCACTCAGGCCCCTGGATGTGCGGGTGCCTTTACCAAGTTGCCACCAGGCCCTAAGTTGGCCGGAGCCGGGCACCCCCCACCCACCCTCTAAAGCCAAACCACACACTCAGGCCCAGAGGTGCCAAGTGGTCATTGTCTGAGGGCAGACGTCCAAGACTGAGGGAGGCTGGACCCCTGGACCTGGCTGTCCTTGTGGCCGGACCAACCCTCCCCTGCGCTGTGGCGGCAGCACGTGCTGCCGTCCAAGGCAGTCATGCCAGGTGCACAGGAGGGCGCCGAGAGGAGGAGGGCGGCACCCTCGGGGCCCAGGCCGACTGCACCCCCAGGTCCCATTCTCGTGAGCACACGCACCTCCGGGACGAGCCGGGCCCTAGGCCAACCAGAGCGCTCGGGATGTGGCTCAGCCTCTCTGGGGCTCAGCAGTTTCCAGAAGCGGCTTCCTGGGGCAAAGTGTTTTCCCTCTGGGGTGAGGGTCCTGAGGGAAACCCTCCACGACAGACGTGGCTCTGATCCTGAGGTGGCCAGCCCTGAGGCTGCAGGACTCTCTGAGGCCTTACAAGGTCACAGATGCTGGCTGGGTGGGGACACGTCGCGGGGAGGGGACAGCTATGCTCACACATGTGCATGGTGCCGACAGACAAGGCCTGGCCGTCCCCCGGCCCTGGCAAGGTGACTCACAATGCCAAAATTCCCACCGTCCCAGGCTCCGTGGAGAATGGGCTCAGGAGCTGGAGCTGAGGCACAGGATGCTGCAGGCGCACCAGAAGTCCGCCCCACGGTCGTCCCTTCTGGGCACTAAGTCCTTCTGCACTGGAGACAAGACTGCAGCCTGAGTCCTGCGTGGAGTGGGGACGCACCGTGCCTGGCTCCCCAAGAAGGAATGGCCCATGGGGGCTGCGCGTGGGGGCTGCCTGCAGAGCCACTGCACCCGTGGCAGGTCTCACGGGTGCGCTCACCCTACTTCGCCCTGGTTGCATGGGGTGCCATTGGGTTTGCTTTTCCAGCACAAAGTAGGTGCCCAATAAAACCCAAGGTAATTGGATTGTTTGTGCAAAATTGTCTTCATAGGCTTTAAATTCATCTTAAAAGCTGAACAGGCCTTGGCTGGTGAGGCTCAGTGGACTGAGTGCCAGCCTGTGAACCAAAGGGTCCCCAGTTCTATTCCCAGTCGGGGCACACACCTGAGTTGTGGGCCAGGTGCCCAGTGGGGGGCGTGTGAGAGGCGACCACACACTGATGCTTCTTCCCCTCTCTTTCTCCCTCTCTTCCCCAATCTAAAAATAAACAACATAACCTTTTTTTTAAAGCCGCACACAGCGTTACTAACTTGCAACAAGTCATCAAAATATACTCAGCTGCCCCACAAGGTGTTCTGACCGCCGACCTGCAAATTTTGTTTTACTTTTGGTCAAAGAATGTCCCTAACCCTCAACCCCAGGGTGATGCCTGATGTGCTGCCATGTGCAGCGTCGTGCAGCGTCAAACACCCTCCTGTTCGCTGCTGGACGTTCCACCCTCCTGGCCCCACGTTGTGTCTGTGACCCCCCGGCTGGGCAGGGGCAGAGCACACAGTGAAGCCCAGGCTGCCAGTGAGGACCCAGCCTCCAGCAGGGGCGCTCACACTTGCACCCGAGCTCTGCAGCCCGCGCTCCCTCTGGCAGGCGCCCCGCTGTGGCCACCGCATCCACCCAGCGATGCGGAGCGTGTGGCTTGGGGCTGGGGTCCAGCTGCGGCTCCTCCGGGGTCTCCCCGGTCTTGTCTCCAGGGTTGGCTGCTCATTGGTTTGGGATCTGCTTTGCCGAGTTAGCAAAGGCGGGGGAAGGCACATGGCTTTGCCCACCGAGGGGCCTCTCCAGAGAGTTACCTGGAGACGAGGCTCTGACCGCAGCAGCCAGGGACCTCCTGTGCCCCACTGGTCCCTCAGACAGCATTTCCAGAGCTGACCACACGGCCTGGATGGGAGCACGGAAAGCCCAGAGGGATGAGTGGAGAGAGCGCCGCACGGGCCCCTACGACACAGCTCCTCCGTCACCACCCAGACTCTCGTCACTGTTCGTGACTCAGGAGATTCCGCTGACAAGCACCCTGGGGAACCTGGAGATTAATAGCCCCCAAAATAGCTTGAGAATAGGAGTCGCTCACTAATACTCGCAAAGCCCCAGGCTGCTGGAAGTCACTTTATCTGAGGATATACTTAGAACGCATTGCTGTCAGCACCAATAAATGGAGGCGTCAGACCAGCCCATCTTGGCTGGAAGGGCACATTCCTGCCTTTGGGAGTCGTGCAGAACCCCGGAGACTGCCACACCCTCCCGCCGTCTGTCACGATCCCAGTGACTCAAACACCCTCCACTGACGGCGGGAGCCAGCATCGCAGGAACACAGGTGTCCTCCAGCCTCATCCTCACTCTATGTCACTGACCCTGTCCTCCGGCAAAGCGGAGCCGGACTCGGAGGCTGGGAGGCACTCGGTGAGGAGGGGTGGAAAGACCAGGAGAGAACTTAAATAATGTGGCTGCATAGGCTGAACAGAGACATGGCCCAGAGAGCGATGGAGGTAGCAGCGTCCCCTGTCCACCCAGATAAAACGAGCAGGGCCGGAGCTGCTCATGCTGGACGTGCCAGCGGGCAGAGGGGCGGTGTGGACACCGAGACCGGCACCGAGGTGGCCGTGGTCCCGGGTCCCGAAGCCCCTCACCCTCTGGACTATGCTCTGTGCCCAGTGAGGCCCACCTGTCACACGGGAGCTGGCGGGGCCCGCAGTTCAGGTGCAGTGGGTCGGCGCGCTCCAGGAAGTCCACGAGCAGGGCATTGCCCCTGGGCACAGAGGGGAGGAGGGACCGAGTCGCCAAAGACCAGAAGCACTTGGAAGACACACAGCGCTATCAACCCGCCGGGCCAGTGACGCTCACAGAACAGTGCACCCAAACTGCAGAACACGCGTGCTTCGGAAGCACACGAGGAGCGCGTCCCAAGACTGAAAACGTTTCAGAGACAGTGGGGACTGACTGTGGGAGCAGGAGGGTGGGTCAGGGGAGAGCAGTCGGGGAAATTGGACACCTATAGTAGAACAACGATTGAAAAAAAAAGGGAAAGGCATTCAAATGGCCAATAAGCCCATGAAAGGACTTTGCCATCGGGAGTCACTAAGGAAATGCAGGTTACTAGGTCGCAGTGCAGTGACAAGGCCCAAGCAGCGCTGACGTGCAGGAAGGGGTCAGGGACAAGAGCCCACTGAGGTCAGAGGCAGTGGCCCCATGCAGTGTCTGACACAGTAACATCCGCGTGCTTCTTAAACAGTGGTTTCAAAGGCACCCAAGAAAGAGAAATGAGACAGCGTCCTTGCTCAGTCTACCGTGGTGTCGCGGCTGGAGCAGGCTCCTTTCAAAACTGGACAGCCGTTAGCAGAAGTACAGAGACTCGCACCGCCTGCATCCTGGGAAGTTCCCAGGGCCGAGGAGGGAGGGACAGGGAACAGGAGGGACCAGGGTGTGACGTGGGACCAGGGTCACTTGAAGGCTCGAGAGGCCCAGTCTCAGCCTCACTGGTGAGCAACGTTCCAGTGGGTTGAACCCCAGCAGTCTGAGCGGTCGATGGGGTTTCTGCTCCTTCAGTCCGATCCCCAGCTGCACCTCCGAAGACTGAGATGAACAAGTCACCCTGTTAACATAACACAACATCACATAACACATTACAACATAGCAACATAACATGATGTGCTGTAATATGATACAATACATGACATAATATAACATACTATAACATGACAACTACATGGCGTCGGTGTAAGAAGGTGCCTCAGGTCGAGTGTGCAGATCCCACTCTGAAGTGTGTGCGGCACCGACAGGTTTTTCGTGGTCATGCTCCGTCTTTCCTGAGCTGTGTTAATGAGACACTGCAGAACGTGAGGACAAGCACGCCCTGAGGGATGACACCACGTTAACCGTGACCATCGGCATTGTGAACAAGAGCTGTTGGGTAACAGCTCAGCTCCCAGTTTCACCCATTTTCATTCAACGATTGCCCAGAACAGCACAATGGAGATCTCCAGCCATCCATCTGCTGCAGAAAATAAGTTTTGTCTTGCTTCCTGCCTTGTTTCAGATCCTTCTGGCCTCCTGCCGTGTTACAGAAACACTCAGAAGAGCTCTGGAGTAGCTTTCACCTGTGGTCATCAGTCCCGGTGCGACCCTGGGCGAAGGCCACCGACGGTGTGGGGGTGCGGGGCCACTCCCGGTGACAGTGGCCGCAGGAAGGCAGGGTGCTCAGAGCCCTCGGAAGACAAACAAACTAAAGTTACACTCCCTGTCACACACACAAATCTCAACAGATGCGTGGAAATGACTTTTCTCATCTTTGACTCTTCATGTCGTCATATCTCTATTTCAGTTTAGTCACATCAGAAGAGATTCCACCAAAGAAGAAATCAAGGTCGCCAGAGCTCAGACTTCCCATCAGGATGGGGGCATAAGTGAACACACTTCGTCTCCTTGCACAACTACATAAAAAATTACAAACAAACCTCAAAATGAATAACACCCAGAACCGTCAGAAAATGGAGTTGTATGGAAGTCCAACAAACAAGAATTTAAAGAAGCCACATTCATGCAGATGGGCAGAGACGCAGAGATGGGTGGAGAGGCGCAGAGACCCGGTGTGGCGCAAGGAGGCGGTGGACCGGGCAGTCCCACATTCATGTACGTTGGATAAAAATCGGGAGGGACCTGGCTGGCGTAGCTCAGTGGATTGAGCGCAAGATGCGAACCAAAGTGTCGCAGGTTTGATTCCCAGTCAGGGCACATGCCTGGGTTGCAGGCCACAGCCCCCAGCAACCACACATTGATGCTTTCTCTCTCTCTCTCTCTTTCTCCCTCCCTTCCCTCTCTAAAAATAAATAAATAAAAATCTTAAAAAAAAATCAGGAGGGACACCTCAGAAGATAAGGACCCCAGCCCCAGGCCAGACACACAGCCCAGGGTTCCAGCACCAGGAAGATAAATCCCTGTGACTTCTGGCTGTAAACACCAGTGGGGATTGGACCAGCAAAAGAAACTGCCGGATTTTCGGAAGATTCTGCTTAAGGGCACACACAAACTTAGAAGTCATGCAGACCCACCCCCTCTGAGATTCAGCACCAGGACAACAGCTGGAAGGGCGCAGGTCTCATACCGGGAGAACATCACGTGACCGCAAACAGGGCCAGTGCCGAGCACACCTCCAGAAGCCAGGCAGCGGCACTGTCCCCGCTCTGAGCCCTCCCACCACACAGAGCCACAAAGTGGTGAAGCAGGTTGTCCCATCCTGGCAATTACCTAAGTCTCCACCCCACACAATTTACAGGTGCCTTTTCTATCATACTCCATGCTACTAAGACAGGGAGTCAAAGCAGCTGTACCTAATACACAGAAACAAAGTTGACAGGGAAGCTGCCGAATCGAGGAGACAAGGAAATGTGACCCAAATGAAAGAACAGAACCCCAGAAAAATAATTAAATGAAAGAGAGATAACCAACCTATCAGGTGCAGAGTTCAAAACACTGGTGATCAGCCCTGGCTGGTGTGGCTCAGTGTACTAAGTGCCAGCCTGCAAAGCGAGAGGTCACTGGTTTGATTCCCAGTCAGGGCACAAGCCTAGGTTATGGGCCAGGTCTCCGGTCGGTGGCATGCAAGAGGCAACATATCGATGTATCTCTTGCACATCGATTGTTTCTCTCTCTCTCTTTTTCTCCCTCCCTCTCCCTCTCTCTCTAAAAATAAATAAATAAAATCTTTTAAAAAAACACTGGCAATCCAGATGCTCAAAGAACTCACTAAGTACAGCAAAAACGTAGGGGAGAAAATGAAGGTTACACTACATAAAATAAATAAAAATCTACAGGAAACCAACAGTGAATGGGAAGGAGCCAAGAATGAAACCAACGCTTTGGGACTCGAGGAAGGAAAAGTCATTCAACCAGAAGACCAGGAAGAAAAATGAATTTAAAAAAAAAAAAGGATAGGCTTAAGAACCAATCGCTGGGACAGCTTTAAACATACCAACAGCTGAATCATTGGGGGGCCAGAAGGAGAAAAGGAAGAGCAAGAAGTCGAAAACTTACCTGAAAAATTAATGAAAGAAAACTCCCCTAATTTGGCGAAAAACATAGACATGCAAGTCCAGGAAGCAGAGTCCCAAACAAGATGGACCCAAAGAGGACCGCACCAAGACATCCTAATTACATTACCCAAGATTAAAGATAAGGAGAGAATTTTAAAAGCAGCATAAGAAAAGAAGAGAGTTACGTACAAAGGAGTGTCCATAATACTATCAGCTGATTTCTCAAAAGAAACCTTGCAGGCAAGAAGGGGCTGCAAAGAAGTTTTCCAAGTCATGAAAGATAAGGACGTACATCCAAGATTGCTCTGTCCAACAAAGCTATCATTTAGAATGGAAGGGCAGATAAAGTGCTTCCCAGACAAAGTAAAGCTAAAGGAGTTTATCACTACCAAGCCATTATTACATGAAATATTAAAGGGACTTATTTAAGAAAATCAAAACTATGTGCATTAAAAAGGCAACAAACTCACAACTATCAACAGCTGAATCTAAAAAAAAAAAAAAAAAAAAAGCAAACTAATCAAACAACCAGAACAGGAACAAAATCATAGGTATAGAGATTATTTGGAGGGTTATCAGCTGGGAGTGGTTGTGGGAGAATGGGTGAAGAGGTGAGGGAATTAAGAAATACAAATAAGTAGTTACAGAATAGCCACAGAGATGTAAAGTTCAGTGTAGGACGTGGAGAAGCCAAAGAACTTATAAACATGACTCATGAACACGAACTAAGGTGGGGATTGCTGGAAGGAAGAAGGGTACCATGCAGAGGGAGGCAAAGGGGAAAAAATTGGGACAACTGTAATAGCATAATCAATAAAATATATTTAAAAAATAAATAAAAATGTATTTTCAAGATTTGAAAAACACCACTGACATCGTGTATGCTATACACACTGTGCAACATCCCATCTGTTGGCAGGTGAAGGAGGGAGGTAGAGTCAATGTGGGTTTGGGTGGAGTTGCAGGGGCAGATAAGAAACCCAGAAAACATCTCTTATTACAGAAATACTTGTTTATTTATTTGTTTCATCTTTTTCTGTACATTTCAGGCGTGACAGGCTCCCTGTGTCTGTGGACAGCGAGGCCAGCTCTGGGAAGCCTGCGACCTCCGCGTCATCACTGCTTCTCCCGCTGGAAAGGGTCTTCCCCTTCAGGGTCTCTATGAGCTGCTGCAGTCGTTTGGCAAAAGAAGGGGCTTCAGGAGGTTTAATGGGAGATGAGGGTGGAGGAGGTGGGGGAGGTGGGGCTGGGGTGGAGGTTGGGGGCAGGGGTTGGGATGTAGGTGGTCAAAGGGGAGGTGGTTGAGGAGAGTATTGGAAGTACCAAGGAGGGCGGAGGGAGGAGACTGTAGCGGGGGCTGTGGCAGAGCTGGGAGGGGGAGGGGTGCTCGGCTGAAGCCTCTCCAAGGCCTTGAAACTGATCTTGGAAGCGATCCAGCTCAGGTAGGGCCAGGTGGCTGTGTAGATTCCAGGGTGCTTTGCTCAGGCACAGCCCACACCCCAGCTAGTGATTCCAACCATCACGTAGGGGTCCTCTGCCCTTCTTCTGCACATGAGAGGCCCGCCACTGTCCCCCTGCCAGGAGGACACAGGACGCACACTGTGCTGAGCCGCTGTCCCTGCTCCCAGGACCACAGGGGCTGTGGTGAAGGGCCAGCCGGGGTGGGGAGGGTGCGACGGTCCCGGGCTTCCTTGCGGAGAGGAGGGAAGAGGAGGAGCCCACGCATCCCCGAGTGTGGCTTCACAGGCCCACGCGAGCGTGTGTGTGTGCACGTGGAGTTGAACGCTCGGGGTGCTGCTTGGGTGGTGTGGTCTCTGTGTTAGGGTGAGAGAGAGGCTGCACGTGGTGACCGGTCCATTGCAGGGGCAGCTGGTGGGGGTCACCTCCATGTTCATGGTGACTGCAGACATGGGGCCAGGAAAAGGGTCACCAGAGTGGGGCCCTGGAGCGTGTGGAGCTGAGGGACCCAAGACAGTGGGGTCCGCGGGGCCCGGCACCCAGGGACCGTCACCTGGCAGGTGTCCACGTAGCCCTCGGGTTGCCCTGCACACACGTTGGTGGAGCGCATGCGGCCTCGGCGCCACAGGGTCGAGTTGCACAGGCCGAGGTCGAGGATACTCACCAGGGCCTCCTGCAGCACGGGCGACATCTTTTGGGCTGCAACAGGCAACTCGGTGGTCAGTGGTCTCAGGAGACACGCCCCTGTGTCTGGGAAAGCCCCGCCTCCTCCCTCCCCTGAACCCTGGTCGTCCGTGAGGCTCTGTTCAGACCTAACAGCCAGGAGAGCCCGAGGCCCTGGCCTGTGCTTGCGCACGCGGACGAGAGACAGGGCGGACGGACAGAGGAAGAGCCTGGACGAGGGGCCGCGGGGCCTCGGGGGAGGACGGGTGCGGCCGGAGGGAGCTGTGCGCGAGTGGTGGCCGGTGGCTCACGGAGGCTGCTGGTAAGATCAGCAGGCGTGAGCGGACGTGCACGATGAGCCACACAGACGTCATCTTAGTCCTCGCAGCCCCCGTGACCCCCGTGACCTCCCTGCCCCCCTGCCCGGGGGCTGGGGCTCCCCTCTCCAAGGTCACACAGGGCTGCGGTGTGGCTTGGGTTCAGGCCCGGGAGTCCCTCTCCAGGACCCAGCCCAGGGTCTGGCTGGAAGGCGCCCTCCCCACTCGCCCTGCCAGGACTCCTCCACCCCTGTGGACAGGCCCCCCGGTTGGGCAGGGGAGTCCTTCCCCAAGGGCCCCCTCTGTCCCGAGCAGGTCATGGGAAGGCAGAGCTGTGGCCGGGCCTCCCCACAGAGCCACAGCTCTCGGGACCAGGTCAGGGCTGCCTCACGCCCCCAGAAGCTCTCTTGGGGTCCAGGGGGTGAAGAGGGGGCCTGGCCAGGGCGACCCCGAACAGGGCGCACTGCGTCAGGCGGAGACAGCAGAGACGGCCCCACAGCCGACGCAGCTGTGTCCTCGGGGTCACGTGGCCCCACAGACGGCGGGGCCCTGACAGCAGCCGCTGCTCTGGCCCACCAGCCTAGGAAGTGGGTTTGGACACCCGCTGCCATGCAGGTGGGGAGCAGGCGGGTGGGGCCTGGTGCGGGCGGGGCTGGAAGGAGCTCCTGGGCTGATCGGGAGGCGGGAGCCCAGCGAGCCCCCGCGCAGGGCCAGGCCCACGGCAGGAGGCGTGGCTGGCTTCTGGTGCCTTCAGTCCCCTCCCGCCCTGCGTGGGGGCAGCAGGGACAGCATGCGTGAGCCCTGCCCTGGAGGAGGGGTGACAAGGAGGTGCCCACATCCAGCTGGGCCTGTGAGTCACCAAGGTGACCCAGCCCTGGGTCGGGAAAGCCTGGGCCTTGTGTTAGGAGCCAGGTGTCCTCAAACAGGGACGTTCTCAACCCCAGCGCCTGTTTTACAAGACCAGCTCAGGAGCTGAGCCTCGTAGGGAACGGGGAGGGAGCCAGGCAGCAGGAGGAAGGGAAGGCCAGGACGGCCCCAGGGCTCGGAGCCCGAGATCCCTTCAAGACTTGTCCTTGGAGGTGCGGGTGTGGGAGAGGGAAATGTGGGTGTCAAAAATGACAGAAGTCCCTTTAAGTTAGCTGAGAGGGATTCTGGAACAAAAGAGGTCTCGAGGGAGGCCCAGGGTGTTGTAGCTGGGAGCCTGCGTGCCTTGCAAGCCCACAGTGGCAACAGGTGAGGCGGGGTGGGGGTCGAGGGAGGGGCAGAGCAGGGAGGGCCCGGTGGGGGACAGGTGTCGGGGGGGAGTCCCAGAACACAGGCACGCCCATGGCAGAGCCTCGGACAACAGCAGCATGGCCAGAGACGGTCGCCCGGCCAGGAGGCAGGTCGTGGGTCACCCAAAGCCAGAGAAAGCAAGGCCCTGAGGACAGACAGCCTTGACCCCGCTCTCAGAATGCTGGGTCACCCCTGTGTGTGCTCCGCTGCCCTCACCGGGCGTGGCTGTGGCCCGGCCCTCAGCTCCCGCCCACAGCTGCTCCAGCTGGAAAGGGGTCGGGGTGGGAGCTGCCCAGGCACCGTGCGAGGACAGCTGCTCTGCCGGGCCTTGACCACTCGTGTTCCCCCTCAACGTCCACCTCGGGCAGGACCCGCAGTGGTCCCCAGGAGCCCCTCCCGTGCTCACCGTCCTCCCTCAGGAACCCCCAGCCGGTCACCCAGCAGGAATGGGACACGTGGGGCGGGCTTGCTGAGAAGTGGGGCAGGCAGCCGGGCGATGAGGGAGCCTCGACAACGGGAGGGTGATCTTCACGAGCGCGATGTCGTCGGCCTCCAAGACGGGCGAGTAGCTCTCGTGGAGGACAATTTTCTCAACAAACCTCTCCTGGAGAGGCGGCTTCACCGGCTGGCTGCTGCCGTACTCGATTTCCCTCGCCCCGAAAACCAGCCTCCAGTCCTGGGCTTCCCTGTGGGCACAGGGGGAGCCGGGCCGTCCTCCCTGTGCTGCAGCCACGACCCTCAGAGCCTCCCCCCTGGCAGGGGTCACGGTCTGCACGCTGACGGTCTTATCGCCGCCAGGTGTCAGGAGCTGACCAACAGCTGACCTTTGACACAGTAGGGTCGGGTGAGACGCATGTGCATAGCAGAGGCCACTGTGGCCAGATCTCCTGTCTCCTCCTGCGTGCCTGTCCCTGCTAGCGATAGGTGGTGGGGTTTTAGATACCTATGCGTTATCACAAAAAATCTGCACGATGCCTGATTCTGTGCGAAATGACTTGCTGACCACAGAATAGAGACCCCTAGCAACCCTAATGTTGCTTGCTTCCCCCACCTGGAAAGTTAAGGATAAAATTAAACTATGGGCAGACCAACTGCCAGAACGCTGGAAGAAGCTGTTGCTAGGAATGCTTAAGGAGTCACCATTCAAAAGCTCAAGATTTATCAGAACCACTGCCTTTCCCATGCCCTGGGCAGGAGCGGTTATTAATGGGACCAGGCAGATAGAGAAGGAAGTTTGTTTTTGTTTTTGTTTTTTTTTAATTTTATTTATTTATTTTTAGAGAGGGAAGGGAGGGAGATAGAGAGAGAGAGAGAGAAACATCAATGTGCGGTTGCTGGGGGCTGTGGCCTGCAACCCAGGCATGTACCCTGGCTGGGAATCGAACCTGGGACACTTTGGTTCCCAGCCCGCGCTCAATCCACTGAGCTACGCCAGCCAGGGCTGAGAAGGAAGTTTTAATTAAAATACAATAATCTCAGTACATGGAAACATAACATAACCCCCCTAGATATGTAGTTAATAGACCTAGGCAAAAAATCATTTATCTAATTTAGACAATCTAATTTCTATAAATAACTAATTTTTAAATCACTCCTTGTACCCCTTTGGTTTAGACCAATCTATAGAAATTTAGTAGATATTTAATTATAATCAGCATTTGAAAGTTTGTGCCCATATAGCTTTGTTGGCTATCTGATTAATGACCCTCTTGGTCAAAATAACCTTTGTTTAATATGGTTGATCTGTGGGACTTCCTGTACTTTTCGGTTATTTCTTTAACATGATTGATTTGTAAAACCTGTGTTTTTAGAAATTATTTCTGTGGTAATCGTTTTTGTTTTAATAATCATATTATGTATTGAATATTGTATAACCTCCCTATAAAAATAAAGATGGATTTTTCTCGGTGAGTCAGTCAGGTCTAGAGAGCCTGGCTGTCCTCCGGCATCACATCTGGTGTCTGTCTCGTTTCACCTGAGCTGTTCCTCCTTTGGGGACCCTGAGACCCGCCGAGGCTGGACCCCAGCTGCCAGGCCCAGAGCCCCATCGACACTTGGCAGAGACCCCAGGAGAATGCCCCTGAAGGCCCCGAGGCCTTCAGAAGAGCCCCGCTCATGTTCCCACATGTACTTTTTTTAAAGATTTTATTTATTTATTTTTAGAGAGGGAAGGGAGGGAGAGAGAGAGAGAGAAACATCAATGTGCGGTTGCTGGGGGCCATGGCCTGCAACCCAGGCATGTGCCCTGGCTGGGAATCGAACCTGCGATGCTTTGGTTCGCAGCCCGAGCTCAATCCACTGCCACATGTACTTTTTAGGCTGAAGCAGTGAGCAGTGCTGAGCACCCACTGGGCGTTCAGCAAGGAGCCCCCGCAGGCGTGGTACCACCGGCTGTCGTGGTTGGCGAGGACCTGCAGGTTGACCATCCAGGGCCAGGTCCCATGCACAGCATCCTGGCCTCTGATGACACGCGGGCCCCCCGCAGGGTCTCCCCAAACAGCAGCCTCCAGGGGCCACTGAGGAGAGACTGAGGGCACGGACCAGGCCGAGACCTCGAGCCTCTGCAGACGGCAGGGGTGTGGGGTTGGTGACGTGGGGGAGATCTGGGAATGAGCATGAGCTGTGCTGTGGAGCTGTGACAGAGCCACAGCCTCCAGGACATGGAGGGGTGTGACGTCCACGGTCCTGTGGGTGTCATCACAGGTGGGGAAAGAGGGGCCACGGGCAGCTGGGGCGATGGTGCGGGCCTGAGAAGTGTGGGGACCCCCGGGCTGGGCGAGGCTAACGTGGGATGCAGGGTGTCCCGGCCTGAGGTCTTCAGAACCAGTCATGGGGTGCAGGGTTGGCCTGCACGGTGACGGGGAGAGAAGGACCACAGGCAGGTACAGGGGCCCCAGGTACAGGAGGCAGTAGGAGCGCAAAGGTGGAAGTTCCGGAAAGAGGGGGTGCAGGTCCCCCCAAAGTCTGGCCCTGGGAAGTCTCAAAGGACCACAGCCCCATAACTTTCAGATGCTCACCAGACCGGAGTAGAGCTGGTTGCTTTTTCCTGGTGGCACATGTGCCAGCAGCTGAGAAACTTTGTTGTGAGCTACACTCACGTTATTTCAAAGGTGAGCACTAGATGGCGGCAGCGAGTGACTTTCTCGGATGACGTCCTGGAACCTCGCGCAAACCTGGTATGCGCTGGCTGCACACCACGCGGCATCGGAGAAGAGCTTCTGTCAGTGGTGCAGCTTAGGCGGCTGCGGAGGAGTGTACTTCCTGATGAACTCCACTGTGGCGTTACTTACAATATGCACACCAGATGGGAACGAAAAAGGGCTTTTCTCCATGACCCGCACTTGAGTGTTATTCCCAAGGTGAACACGAGATGGCAGCAGAGAAGCACTTTTTTGGTGAGAACCAGGCAGGTGTTCCGCGTGCACACTAGGTAACAGCAGAGAAGCACTTTTCACGACGGGCGCTCAAGCACTTTCCACAGGCTGCACACTAGGTGGCAGCAGGCAGGGCTGACCCCTGGCTCCACCACCCACCAGCGGTGCGGTTTCAGGCAAATCCATGGAAACTCAGTCTCCTCCTCCGGGGGAGTAACTGCCTCTCTCAGGGCAGCCGGGAGGACTCAGCGGGGTGGGGCGTTCAGCTCGCTCTCCCTCCCTCTTCCCTTCTGTGTCCTTTCTTACCTCCTATGGGCTGAATAAATCAGGAGTCTAGCAAATAGTGTTGTTTCAGCAGAATGCACTCTCCTACTGTTGTCCACACAGCCGAGCTCCCCGTGGGCACTCACTCCCGCACGGGTCTGGCTTCCTCCTCAGGGCAGCGCTGACCACAGCCTCTCTCTGGTCCTCACACCCCTGCTCCTCCGCAAACTCGGGGTCCCGCCTCAGCGCAGGCCAGCACCACCCCACACCAGTCCTCTCTGCTCCCTCTGCTGCTTCCTGTCCCCGCCTCATCCAATCCAGTCTCCACACCCGGACCCGCTGATCTTTCAAAGTTAGGGATCTGACCCCTTCCCTTCCCACCCACGAGAACTGCCCACAGCTCCCCCATCCCAGCCTGGAGAACAGTCTCCCGCATCGGCACAGTGTTGAGACCCTTTCTCGGCCCCACTCCTCCTCCTGGTTTCACTTCAGACCGCCCCACCCCACTCCGCCGCCAGGAACCCGAGAGGCCAGCATCGGCCTCTCTGGCTGGGAGACCAGTCGGACTCGCGCACGGTGTCGAGGCGCCGGCTCGGGGACTGAGTCTCCGGTGTGGGGAACTGATAAAATACAGACTCTAGTTAATAACGATGCATCAACATTTGTCTGTTAATTACAACAATTCTGTTCCAGAAAGAGAGGAATTAATGGTCAAATAAGAAGAACCAGAGGTGCGTGGTGTCCCGGTAAATGCGCACTAACATGGCACCCGTCCTCCCGGCTGCCCGTGCAGCCTCCATTCTGTGCGCAGACGCTGTGTGCTGTGCCCCCCCCCGCCCCGCCGTCTGCTCGCTCCTCCCTTCTCCCCGTGCTCTCCACACACGTACTGGATATGCTGGGGCCGTGCCACACCACTGACTGGGGTGGAACCGTGCCTTCGCAACGGTCCATGCCGAAATAAGGACGCAAAAATTGTAGAACAGATATGACTCGGTGTGACTTCAATGTGCAACACAAGTGACCTGATGGTTGTGGGTCAAGGCGGGGCTGGGGCTGGCCCAGAGTCCTATGACACCAGTCAGGGGCCAGGTCTCCGTGACAACTGCCACCTCCCCCAACCCTAGGTGGGCTTCAAGAGAGCAGGTGAGCACAGGTGACACAGGGGACAAGAGAGCTCACCTGTGGGTGTACAGTCCCACATCAAGAGACATGAGCATCTCTTTAAATGCAGCGACTCAGCGCCAGGGCTGCACACGGAACTGACACGCGCAGGGAAGCCTCGAAGACCCTCGGGGCGAGTGCAGCTGCTCCTCCGTGGGGGCTGCTCGGGGCCCTGCGTGTCTCACCGCCCTCCACAAGGCCGTCACTGAACATGCCAGCCTACCATAAAGGCGCAAGAGGGTTATAAAATTTAACAAACTTATTTTTAAATTCAGTGCAAAAGAACGTCTTTGTAGAGAACTTACGAAACCCATCACGTTCTCCATCGTACAGACTGACTTCTGTGCAATGCAGCCATTTACTAAAAAGCTAGTTAGTACTGACCATGTCTCAACTGTCAGCAGGTGACAACTGGAAATACCATTCTAGACGTACACATTTATTTACATGCTTAATTGTGGATTTAACCATCTCCCTAGCTGCAGCAAAAGGTACAAATGAGTTTCCAATTCATTTCTAGGTCACAATCAGGTGGAAGGGCAGGAAGGGCAGAGAGAAAAGCTCAAACCACTGGGCTTCATCCTGAGAGAGCTCGGTCCTCCATACACAAGGGACGCCAGGCTGAAATGATGACCAGGTGGGTGAACATGGAAGAGTAACTTAAACTGATTTAACCGGGGGCACCCAGTTCAGGGGTTTCCCACTTGGACAGCACATGAGGCAGGTGTCTTCAGGGTGGCTGTGCATCTGCAGCAGAGCGGGTATCCGCCAGCACCAAGGAACCAGTTGCAGAGCGGGAAGGACACAGGCTGGCCGCTCAGAAAACTGCAGGGAGGCCCCTGACACACCAGACACTGAAACCGCCGGCCTGGAACACAGCCCTCAAGCCAGACTCCTCCTGCCCAGAGCCAGGCTGCCCACACCTCCGGGCCGTGAGGAGCTGCAGCGGATGTGCCTCCCTGCCCCTCCCTCGGGCCGCGTCTGACCCCACAGCCTCAGCTTCCACTGCAGAGTGCGGCTCCCTCCCGCCCACAGGCCCCTCTCACCCAGCGACACTGGGAGGTCCAGTGCTCACATCCAGGAGGAACCTACAGGGAGGTTCCTGGAGGCATCACTGATCTCCCCACATTGGAAACAAAATGCGCACTGCAGGGAAAAGGGAGCCTCTCACACGCTGTTGGGAGGGACGTGACTCAGAGCGGCCTGCGGCAGACAGGCTGGAGTTTCCTCAGAAACCAAAACCAGGTCCACCGCGTGACCCAGCACGTCCTCCACTGGGGGTTTCCCCGGAAGAAGTGGAACCGGCACTGCAGACACACGTGCACACCCGCAAGTTCATGTCAGCGTCATTCACGGTGGCCAGGACGTGGGAGCAGCCCACCTGCCCATCCGTGGGTGGCACACGCACACAACAGAATGTCACTCAGCCCCGACAAAGGACGTCCTTCCACTGGGGCGTGGATAAACCGGAGCACAGCATGGTAAATGGAATGAGCCCAACCCAGAACGACAGACAGGGCGCAACCCCACTGTCACGTGGCGCCAGCAGCAGCTGACCAAGAAGCAGAGCAGGTGCTGGTCGCCAGGCGCAGGGGGAGGGGACAGGAGATGAGGGTCCAGGGTTCAAGTCTCAGCTGTGTGAGATGAAGTAGCACCTGAGACCCGGGCGACAGCTGTGGGGCTGCAGCGACCCGCACTCTCCACATGCCTGAGAGATGCCACGACAGCACGTCGTCAGTGGCCCTTCCTGGGCCCCCGAGCGGCCTCAGCGAAACCCTGTCTGAGTCTGCTCCCAGGAGGGCGGAGGCGGACCGAGGGGCCGGACGACAGGGGCGGTCCGTCACTCAGCAGCGGCTGTGAGGGTGACGTCTGTGGGCTCTGAGGGCTGTGCCTCCCCATGTCCACCTCACCCTTCCCGCACGCGTCTGTGCTTTGCGGGCTGGGGCCTGATGCCGAGAAGACGCGCGTCCTAGATGTACTTGTACACGACCTTCGAGGGCACCGTCTGGAGGTGCACACGCACGGGGCACTTGTAGAAGTGGGACAGCAGGGCCTCGCTGTAGCCCACGAGGAAGTAGAACTTGTGCGCAGGCAGCTGCCTCAGGACCAGCGCGCAGATCTCCACCTGGTTGGCCCGGCGCTTCAGGACGAGCTGGTCGGCCAGGCAGCCGGGGAAGGTGCCCAGCATGAACTTGCGAAGAAAAACATCCTCCACCGTGCGCTCTGCGGCGTGGTCCTGCCCATCCAGGTTCCCTGAACACAGAAGGGCACCACAGGGTCGGCCAAAGCTGCAGAGGTGACACCCGACAACAGCCCAGGGCACCCAATCCCTCCCCGACCTTACCTCTTCTCTCCTGTGAGTGGAATGAGGACAACGCTGTACAGTTCAACGCACATCATTTCATCAAACTCCCAAACTAGGCACTGTTGCTTTCCCCTTGTTTCACAAACGGGGAAGCATGGGACCTTGGCCAGGACACAGAACTCAGACGACCCCTCCTTCACTCCCTTTCCCACTGGTCACCCCACAGGCCAGAGACAAGGCCGCCTTGTCTCCTCTGAGACGAGGCTCCTCTGAGGTTTGGGGCAGGAGCTCTCTCACCAGCCAGGGCCGGGGCCTCACCCAGTGATTTCCCAGCGGGGACCCTGCACCACCTGCATCTCTCAGAGTTTCTGCTTGGCCTCCACACCCACCTCCAACCCCAGAACCAGACCCCGGGACGGGTGAAGGGGCAAGAGCCTCTAAGTTAATTTCTCTACATAGGGGCACAGCAAACATCCAAGCTGAAACTCTCACACTGAACCGAACACAGTGGACGGTCGTTAATCCACAGCAGCTCTGTTCCGTACAGTCACTGTGGGCAGAGAGCGAGCTCGCACTCAGCCACAGCGCCTGGGCAGACTCAGGGTTACGAGCCTTCGGTGGAGTTACTTTGGTCCACAGATCAGTACGTAGCCTCGTCATATGTGTTTCCACTTAAAGACACCTCGTTCACTGCATGGGCGGGTGACCAGTGCCGTCTCCCAGCCGCACTAGGACTCGTGCCTGGGGGCAGCCAACCCAACACTCGCGTTTTCTCTGCAAAGCACGTCACAGCCTCCTCGAGCTCAGGACCCTAGGCGAGCAGGGCAGCATCCCCGGCCATTTCAAGGCGGCGGAGTCACCGACCAAACTGCAAAAACACGGCACTAAGAAACCCCGAGAAGGACACACATTTACCGCAGCGGAGCGGAAACCAGAGGGCAGAGCCCAGAAAGAGACCTGACTTGGGGTGGTGAACAGACAGCACAAGACACGAATGATGTTTTACAGAACTGTGCACCGAGACCTGTGCAATTTCACTAACCAATATCACCCCAACAAACTCAATTTAAAATTTAAAGAACAAATAACTTAAAAAAAAAAAAAAGGAGCAGAGCCCTGTTCAACCTCAGCTGGGAAAGCGGCCATGTCTGAGAACGCCGGAGAAAGTGTCAAGAGCAGGCACTTTCACAAACACAAAATACAGAAAAATCCCTGCTTCCACTGGAATCGCAGTGTGCACAGCGCACTGTCTGTCGCGCGTGTCCACGCCGTTTCTGCGGCCTCTGAACCACTCGGCGTCTCTATCAATCACAGATGACAGACAGCAAAACAAAAACAACTCCCGCCTCAAGTCACGCATGTCATTTCCGAGGAGGTGGAACGGGATCCTCGATCCCCGCGGAAAGAGCCAGTTCTGGATCCCCAGACCCTGCTCAACACCCTGGCCTGCCTCTGCCTGGTCACTTCTCTGCACGTAGGGAACTGACTTCGGATTTGGTCACCGACTACCGATGGGAATGAACATCGGACGTCTGCTCTTGTCGCGTCTAGCTTAGAGTCACAGCCCAAAACCTCTGGTGCGGCCTGGAGTCCCCTCACCTGTGTGCAGCGACAGCCAGCCTTTGCGGTGGGCGATGTGATGAGGCGCGTGCGCTTCCTCGTAGGTCACCGGTTTGTCCCCTTTGCCCACTCGGACCCGGGCCGCCCGATTCTACGAGCAAAGAGCGGCCGTAAGTCCGCGCTCCCCACTCAGGATGCGACCTGGGTCCTCCTCCCCTCCGCCCCTAGTCCCCACCCCCTGCCGGGTGTCCCTTGCCCTTCGGCCCCGGACAGACCGCTCACCTTGGCGCACGCGGCGGAGACGTGCAGGGCGCGCCAGGCACACGGCAGCGCGCGGCTCCGGGAAAGCACCTGCGTGTGGACGGGAGAGCGTGACACAGAGACCGGGGCACCCCCCGACCCGCCTGGCCCGCCCGCACCGCCCACTCACCCACGGCCCGAGCCCTCGGCTGCACAGGGAGGCCGCCATCTTCGACTGAGCGCAGCCCGTGACGTACCAGCGCGCCGCCGGGCAAAGGTCAGCGCCGGGGGGCGGAGCGGGGGAGCCCGCGGACGGGCCCAAATCGAAGTCGGCGCGGGGGTGCGAGTCGCCCGTGCGGAGCGGAGTCTTGGCGCGGGGCCTCGCGGCTGTGTCCGGCCCGCACCCCGGACGCTTGTTTCTGCTCCCCTCCCCCTGGCCCCGCTGTTGTTTGTGGGCTTCCCGGCGCAGACCCGGAGGTTGGAGGGTGCAGAGCGCGAGGGTTCACCCTGAGTCTCACGCCGGTGTCCCGAGGACGACGACGGGGCCCCAAGCCGCCCCTTGCAGCGTTTTCTTAGGTTCTACCACTTGGGCTGCTGGAGTTGTCTCCAAATGTATTCTAATTAGTATTACAATGTGGATTATATATTAAAATCCTCTGAATACACAGAAACCAGGTCACAATAACTGTCAACCAGATGTCATTTTTGTACAAAAAAAATCATATACTTGTGTACACACAATAAAAAATGTAAAAGGCAGTATTTCAAAATTAGTCGTTTATCTTTGGACAGTACGATTATGTGTCATTTCTTTCCTTTTTGTTTATCTGTATTTTCTGTAATGAACATAAATTTCTGAAAACTTGTTTGGCTTTTTTAACCATTTTTAATTAACTTTTAAAAAATTTCCATCACAGTTTACTTTCCGTAGTATTTTCAAATAATAGTACTAAAAAAAAAAGGAAGGATGGAAGGAAGGAAGGAAGGAAGGAAGGAAGGAAGGAAGGAACTCCTGGATCTAGCCACAAGGGAAGAAAACGTCCATTTCGATGAAAACTCGACCCAGTTTGCCCTGGCTGGTGTGGCTCAGGGGTTCAGCACTGGCCTGCAGACTTTGCTTCCCTGTCATAGCAACACCAGATGTCTTATTTCAGGACTCAGCACAGTAATGAGAGAAAACCTAGACTCTAGGCTCTGGAGTTGGGCCGTGGTGTAACAAGCCTCAGTTCCATTATCAATAAAATGGGTTTGTTGATAGCACTGACCCTCACAGAGCTGTCAGGTAAATAGCTGTCACTGTTTCTGTTTGGCTGGATATAGGAAATTGCCAACACTTGGCTGGGTTGTGTTTTGATGTTGCTTTCATCATCCCCCCGATGTAGCTGCGGTTCCCATGGAAGGGAGGACAAGACTTCCCTCTGTGTGGAGGGAAACAGAAGCACAGGTGGAGGGTGAGCTGCCTTCATTCACACTGGGGAGAGGAAAGGGGCCAAGACACCAGTCTCTGGGTCTCATTCTGCATGTGCATTCCCCACTGTCAAGGTTCCTTTGACCATTTGAAACTGGGGCCTCAAAAAGTAACGGTTGACAGAACAGTGTCTTTCACACCCATGTCACTAGGAATCTTTTATTTCTAACTTTTAAAACTGTGGCCTCCAACTGTCATGTGTGTTGGATAAGGGGGCAGAACAGGAATGAAATGTTCTCCAGTCGCAACAATTTCCAAATGAAAAAACTGTCAACTCTTCCAGCTGTACCTGTGATGGCCACAGCTGCTCCTCTCTCAGAGGCTTTTATTTCTGGGGCCACTTCTCCCCAATCCGACTGTCTGAAACAATTGCAGAAGAACATTATAATTAAAATAATGAAACACCACTTTCTCCTTTCAAATTGACTATATATCAAAATCTCATGAGGAGCCTTTCAAAACTACAAATCTTGGTTGCAACCAAGAGCCTCAAAACCAGAACCTCAGGGGTTCTGAGTCCAGGCCTGGATGTCACTGCTCCTGAAGGTGTCCTCGGTGGTTCTGGTGCACAGCCATGTGGAGAAAACGTCAGCATTCTCAGCAACTACCAGCCAGAGTATAGACACAGCCGTTCAGAAAAACATAAAAATATACATTCCCCCATGACCAGTAATTCTACTTCTGCCCTGTGGAAATGATTAAGATTTAGTTACAAAGATGTTGATGCCAGCTTTATAAATCACAGCAAAAAAATGGACATATTTTAAAATCAAAGTCCAATAACAGGGAATTCTGATACAGTCTTATTCTGCAACCATTATAAAATATTCTATGGGTCTCATTTTGTAGGCAAAAATACGTTGGGTAAGAGAGTGTGGAATGGTGTTAGTGGGGAAGTCAGGCTAAAGTGTGCAGTATGATGTGGATCTGATAAAACTGAATGTGTGTATCTGTAGGTAGACACAGGGGAGCCAGAGGGTACTCACCAAAAGTGGACAGTGTGAGCAGGAATACAGGGAACTGATTGGCATGGCGATGGGGAATGTAGCCCAGCATCAAACCTGAAAACCAATTGAATGGGAGGCCGCACACAGGACCCAGGCATGCAGATCGGCTTTCCCATGGGAAACCAGGCTGCCATTGTGCCTAGGCTACTTTAAGGTTTGCTTTTGCTAAAACTCCCTCACCCCTGGGTTAAGACTGCAGATGTTTAATGTATATCTCTGAAGCAACTCCCTAAAGTCTGAGGTATGCCTCCCAAGGACCTAATGTAACCAAATCGTCATTTTTATCTTTCCCTTGCATTTGCAACATTTTTATCTTTTTTTTTCTTTTTGTTATCTGTAAGAAGTAATCACTTAAAGTAAACCTAAGGATAATGAATGCAACCTTCTTTGATGTAATGCAACTGGAAAGCAATAAAAGCTTGTCCAGGCAAGGGTCGAGGTTCTTTCCCCTAGAGAGAGTGGCCAAGGTGCTTTCTCTCTCAGAGAGTGGCCGTGCCATCCCTTTTTCTCCACAGGACTTCTGCAGTCTGTGTGAATTTGTTTACCACATCCACAACACAGACTCTGCAGGCCGGAGTCTGCATCACAGAGAGGAATGGCCCTGAATTCTTCTATGTAGGTTCAATAAGCACCTGTAGTCCACTTCAGAATCCACTATTTTCTCCCTGGTGCAGTCTCCCCAGGGTTGCCCATCCCTGCCCCCCCCCCCCGGGGCAAAGCTTCCAGGGAAACCCCTCTGTAGATCAATGAACTTCCCTAAGGTTGTTATTTCAAAGATGTACATTAGATGGCAGCAGAGAAGTGTGTTTGCTGACAAACTTCACTGTGGTGTTTCTAATACGCACACTAGATAGCAACAAAAAGGGGCTTTTCTTCATGACCTAAACTTGGGTATTATTCCCAAATTGAACAATAGATGGCAGCAGAGAGGCACATTTTCAGGTGAAAACCAATCAGGTGTTATTCACTAGATGCACGCTAAATAACAGCAGAAAATAAATTTTCGTCGACATAACCCATTGTTATTCACTAGTTGCACACTAGATGGCAGTAGAGTAGTGCATGTCCTGGTGACCACCTCTCAGATTTTTTTCCTAATCTGCATTTTAGATTATAGCAGAGCTGTTTCTCTTGAACTGAACACAGTTGTTAGTTTTGATATGCACACTAGGTGGCAGCAGATAATAACTTTTTATGATAGCATACACTCAGTTGTTACAGGTTATACACATAAGATGGAAGCAGAGAATAGTTTTTCTTAGTGTCCTCCACTCAGGTGTTGCTTTTTAAACTTTCTTTCATTGGTTGATTTTTAGAGAGAAAGAGAGATAAAAATCAATTTGCTTTTCCCACTTATTGACACATTAATTGGTTGATACTTGTGTGGGCCTGACGGGGGACTGAGCCTGCAACCTTGGCATATCCAGATGACACTCTAACCAACTGAGCTACTTGCCCAGGGCCTCGGGTGTTAGTTTTTTAAAAATTAAGATTTTATTTATTCTTAGAGAGATAGGAAGGGAAGGAGAAAGTGAGAGAAACATTGATCAATTGCCTGGCCCACAACCCAGGCATGTGCCCAGAGCAGGGATTGAACCATCAGCCTTTTGGTTTGCGGGGCGACGCCTAAACCACTAAGCCACTCTAGTCAGGGTAGGGCCTCAGTGTTATTTCTAAGTAGCAAGTAACATTGCAGTAGAGAAAAACTTTTCCTACTGACCCGCACTCAGATGTTATTTTCAAAGTGTACAGTAGATGGCAGCAGGGAATAACATTTTATGATAATACACATTTAATTGTTACTAGTTGCATGGCATATGGCAGGAAGCGCTTTTCCTTGTGAACTACACAGTTTTATTCCCATGATGCACACTAGATGGCAGCAGAGTATAACATTTTATGATGACATCCACAGATGTTATTCACTAGTTGGTTAAACACTCACTATATCGCAGCAGAGAAAACATTTGTCTGGTAACTTACTCTTAGGTGTTATTCTCAAAGTGCACAGAAAACAGCAGAGCTTTTCCTGGTGGCCTCCATCCACTTTTACTCCCAAAATACACACTAGCGGCAGAAAAGAGCGGTTCCTGAGTGCTTCCGCTCAGGTGCTATTCACAAGGTGCACACGAGATGGCAGCAGAGAATACCGCCCCCACACACAGCGACTGAAGTGTTATTCAAAAAGTGTCCACGAGGTGACAGCAAAGACCACATTTTCTTTGCTTACGGGCTCTGCCTATTCTGCATTAATAGGAGAATACCTCCCCAGAAAGAGACAAATTCCAGACTTGGTAATATACTCACTTTGATATAATTCCTATTTTTAAGCCCTTCATATTCCTCATCTTAACTATTGCTCACATTTGGTAGATGAGACAGAAACACTTGTCAACTGCATTTTACAAGAATTTAAACTGAAGACTGGTTCTACCATAGTTCAAAGTCCAGAACCAAGGCCTAAATGGACCAAGCTGGGCCTGAAAGTCATTGCACACAGTACCCTAGACAAACAGAGGAATCCCATAGGTTTTGCAGGTCTGGGCTGACTCTTGGTCACCCTGTTGAAGAAACCCTGCACGTAACCGAATGGTCCCGCCAGCCACGCACTCTCCCTCACTCTCCCTGGCTGATGTTTGGGGTGGGACTTGACCCACCAGCCAGGAAGGGGGCAGGCGGGGAGGAAGAAGTGGTTTGGCCCTTTGCAGGTGCACAACCAGCTTCAGATCCCTGTCACCGTGACGTCCCCACGTCTACTCCCTGCCTGTCCCCCCGCTGTTTAAAACCTGTTCCTCGGCCCAGAGC